GGGGGGGGGGGCCGGAGAGAGGAACATGGGTCTAAGGGACAGTGAGGGGAAAATGACATTCTAGCTCTGTCTACGCCGGCGTTTCTGCAGTTGGCAATGAAGCTGCAACGCTACAGCCTTCACAAGCGAGGACACGGCTGTGGAACAGCTGTCAGCAATGCTCCTGATCGTCTGATTCTGTTCACATTCATGACATAAGCAAACTTAGAATCACCTATAGGTTTAATATGCGGGGTGCCCCCCAAAATGTACATAAATGTACACATATACTTTGAATAATTATAAAGGCAGTGTTTATTAAAATACACTGCATTTTCAAAACCGAGGTGTCAGCTGTTGAAGTGTGTAGACACCGTGTATATAAAGGATACACACGTACCACACATGCACTGTTTTAATCCTTCCCCCCGACACCTCACGTAACAACTCAGGACACTTCCTGAATATAATGACAAGCTGGAATAAACCACATGACTAATTTGGCCATGTTCCCCTGTTGTTTTTATTTTTAAAGCTCAAACTTACCTGGTAAACAGCAGATGCTTTATTCAGAAAGCTGGAAAGAGCAAAGACTCCTGCCACATCTGGATGATTTCTATATGCTACGTGCATCGCCATGCACCCTCCCATAGAAAATCCTCCTAGAAGCAAAAGTTCGCCCATCAGCAGAATACATGTAACAATGATTCAGAACAAGATACATCTGTACCAGTCTCCCATGAATAATATTTAAAAACATTCGGAGACCTTTAAAGATATAGTGCTAATTTAGTCTACTTTAGATCTCACAGAAAAAGAACAGCTATGACTGAAAAACACTGTCCCAGGATGTCACCACTGAGGAGATTTGTAATAAAAGGAGCTACCACTGAACAAAGTAATCATGTTTGTCGAATAAAAAGATTTCTCACAATTCAAAATATAAGTCATAGCTCGTTAAATTTCTAATGCTCACTTATATTTTTATACTCACAAGTCCTTCCACTGCCACTAGAATTAATCACATGTATCTTTTGCCCAGTTATAAGGTCCATGAGGAGCTGTACTTTTAGTGCCTGCTACACAATAGATGCTTAGTGATCTCCAAATTAGGAAAGACAAAGATCCGGTGAGCTAGTTAAAACATTTTTGGATTACAATGTTATTCTGAAAACTTACGGTGGCAATAAGTAAAACATATATACCTATATAAATTTTTTAAAAAGTTTTAAAAAACAAATTTACTCATTTGACAAACATCATTGTCTTTTATGTGCCAAGCACTGTGCTAGACACTGAAGATGTGCAGATTAATATACATGAGCCCTGAGCTCCCTGGGCAGCACACGTGTGAAAATACATGGACCCTCGTGTTTGAGGGGGAAACAGAACACAGACACACAGCAGAGAGGGTGGCGCAATTGCAGGTCCAAGACCCAGTGTGATATCCCATGTCTTGAGTCAGAGTTAAAAGACATCTCGTATTTCATGAGACACAGAAAGTAAACCAAAAGCCACTCTTGTGGAAATATGAAAATATGCTTTAGGGTAGAATTCAGAGCTTTTAATTTCCAGTCTCCTGCTTTACTTCAATTAACAAGGGACCATAAATTTGAATTTACTACAATCTCCTTTATAGATGAAGGGAACTTAAGCCACAGATTAGATGACCTGCTTAAGGCTATTCCCCTAATTTCAGCTGTAAATCTAGGACTTTTGAAACTGAGATTGCCGGCAAGCTTCATGCAGTCTCTATACTCTCTACTATCTGCTGGTATTTATTAAAACAGAACTACTTTATCTGGGGCGGGCTGGCTGGTAATACTACTTTGGACCGAGGATACACAGTATGAGTAAAGATTACCAGCCTTGGGAAGTTTACATTTAAAAAAACCGGCATAGTATGTAAATAATTACAGTATGTGATAAATATTACATGTGCGGTTTTCAGCATGGAATCAGAAGGAAATACCAGGGCATCCCAGTAGCAGCAGCTCACCATGGCTAAGGACAACCTGAAAGGCTCTTTCAAAATAGCCCCCAAACCACTCCCAGAGGCAGATCCTTCTAATTAGAGGCTCCGGAATAGGCCTGGCGGGGAGGGAGCATAAATATCTTAGGATTGTATGTAAACTTTACACATGTGCATCAGATTGCCCAAAATGTTAAAAGCCACAGGCATCATTATCCATGAATTTGAGCATTAATACATCTTTGATGAGTCCCATTAAAGCAGGAAGAGCTTACTACAGACAAGATTATTTCATTTCCAGTAAAATTAGATAGCTGAGCAAGAAGATCTCTAGGGTTTCCATCAAGTTTTAAAATCTAGTCTATAAATGCTTAATAAGCACTTGTAAAAGTTAAAACAGCAAAGACTTTCAACATTTACGGTTATTATAAATACAGAAGTCTACTTTCAGTGTGCAGGCAAGGCTCCGCTCCTCTCGGAATACACGCTTAGCCTTCCTTAAATTTAGTTCACAGAACTGATCTCAGCAAACACCTACTTCCTATCTTCCTATCTCCTCTTTTCCCCATTTACTGACAAAATGAATTCTGGGTCCAGGTTGCTTATAATCAGGAAACAGTGAGAGAAAGGCACAACCCTAATCTGGGGCAGCACAAGCAGGGGCGAGACCCAACACTTAACTGCGTCCCTGCAGCAAGACAATGCCCTGTAACAGAAGGAATCCCACCAAATCATACCGGCAGCTTTTCTTAGAGCTGAACTCCTGGGTGGGATCTATCAAGGTCTGTGTGAAACATAACACTCAAAATCAGACATTTTATTACAGTCACTTCTGCTACTGACCCTTTTACAAAAGTCCAGGTCATGCAGACAACCTCACAGGACTATCAGGCTCATGTGAGCAGGGAGTTCTGTCTGATGTACCCTCCCTATGCTTAGAACAGCGCCTGGCACAGAGTAGGTGCTTAATATTTAGTGAATAAACGAACAAATGTCAATTGAAATCCCATAGGATATTTCTGCAAGGAAACAGATTTATACCATCAGGACATGTAGCGTAACATCAACAAACGAAGAACCCATTTCCCACACGTGAAATGTCATTGTGAACAAACACAAACGCATCCTGCAAGCATGCAACCTCATGTTCAATTCTCATACTCTACAAGGATGGAAAATGTTCTCGTTGAAATCTCATTATTTAAAGATGTAATGTAAGTCCCTTACCCACTGATACTCTTGGGAGGTAACCTGCAATTTTTCACCAGCCATCTCTGACAATGCAATCACCTTCAGCATCGGACACTACTATGAAAAGGGACTTTGTGTATTTTTTTTAGAATAGAAAAAAGTTTAACACAAAGGGCTGGTTATTTGAATTCAATTTCCATCTAAATGTCTAAAATGCAATATAAAATATACTGTTCAATAAGTAAATACCAAATAGTAAACTCATTGTAGGTAATGGCTATAATGTATATTTATAGTTGCTAGTGAAGTATTAAAATGTCAAGAGTTAACATTTCAACATACATTTAAGATTAATGAGCTGAATAAAACATGTTAAAAAATAATAAACCTAGCTTTTATGAACTCCTTAAATAAAATAAAACAGAAACAATATATAAAAAAACTATACTGGGAAAAATAAGTTAATCTATCTGAAACAAAATCCAGAGGAAAAAATACTTATAATGCAAGTTTACTATCAATTGAACAGGATTTAAAAAATGTAATAAAATCCCCCCCCTTTCAACAATTCTTCCATTTAATTATATATTATCCACAGGCTGAACTGTGCTAAAGTCTCAAAAGATTTGGGAATATATATTTACTTGTATACTTTCTCACACAAAATTTATAGGATAAAATATTTGTCATCTTTTAGTGCAGCAGTTCCACTGCTTGAAAGTTCTGATAATTGTTAAGAAACATAAGCTGTTTAATTAAGACACACGAGTTAAAAGAAAGTAGAATGCTATCATTCTTAAGTTTCAGCTCCAACGAAGAGCTGCAGAAGAAGCCTGTATAAGGCCAGGACAAAGGGTCCTGGAAATGTGGTGGCAGGCTTCATCTTGGTGATTCCAACTATCTCTTCACTTTTATTCTAAATCATATATATTAGTATATACCTATTATAAAGTGTTTCCACCATACGGACAAATAAATGAGTCATCTAAAATATCACCACTCTTACATAATTTTGACACGTTTTAAAAAATTCCTTTTAACAGTTAAACACTCTAAATGTACAATTTTATACCTTTTTCATGTAATACTGATTTGAAAGTCTTTCAAAGAATCACAAAACTCCCTAATTATATTTTTATTCACTGAACACATACTTACTAAAAGCCTTCTATGTGTACAATGTACACAGCATTTAATGGTTACATGATACTCACTTGTATTAACAGACCATAATCCCCTTAGCGACCCCCCTCGAGATGGGTACTTAGGGCCCCTGTGCAAGTTACTCAGGGATAATCCCAGAATCACTCACTTTTCCTTTCTTCAAAATTCGGATGAGATGCTCATGTTACCAAAATTCTTCTAACCTGGTCACATCACTGTTCAGGTTCTATACAGCCCAGATCAAAGTTAAACCTAAATTAAATCAATTCTCTCTTAACAACAAATCATCACCACCTAGTGGCCAAAAAAAGGAATCTCATTATGTGCAAAGTTCTTGACTGAGTCAGTGGATCTGGGTTCTAGTCCCAACTCTATTTTGCATTAGCCAGCAATCTGATTTTCAGTTTCATCATAACTGAAATGAGAGTAAGTTCCCACTTTACCTGTTACAAGGCTCAAGAGAGATACTGTATATGAAGACAACTTGTATAATTGGAACACTATCTAAATATGAAACATTCTGGTGTACAAGGGCAATTTAAAACCTGTCAAGTGTAACGTAAATGTCAACTCTTAGCAGTATGACTACCATATGTAGTTTCTAAGCACAACAGTACACGCGAGGAAAATGATACACCTTTTCTACTCTGATTTCTCTCCTTACGCAGGGACATCCAGAAGGAAAGGAGGAGTTTCCAGTCAGGCTCGACAGAGGCACACTGTCCTATGCAACGCGCTTACACTCTGCACACTGGACACACTCTCCAAGTTACTCAACCAGAAGACGACCAGATAATGTGATAGCGTTAATAATTTTCTCAGAATACAGGACTTGAACCCAATTTTGAGGAATTCAAACTTCACTATTTGATTACCTGTGCTCCCCCTTTTATCATGCCTTTTGTAGAATCATGTTTGGTATAAATATACAAGATTAAATAAACGCACTTCTTACATTCTTAACGTAGAGAGCGAGGATCCACAAGGTCTCCGAGGAGCACTGCACGCCCCGCAGTATCTAACACTGAGCTAGGGGGTGAATCCGGGCCTAGTTCTTCCTATCTCACTGAAGTTTCCTTTTTCCATTAGGAGGGCAATCTGTTTCCCGTGGTGAAAACTAGGAAACAGCGTCTGTTTTCACGGCTGACACCTGCAGTCGGCTACAGTGTCCTCAAGTGTAATCCTACTTATCCTTGTTCCAAAACCTGGCACAGCGTGTGCGTCATCTCCCACCCCTCTGCTGGCTCTGTGCCTCTGCCATCCTGCTGTCCTCCCAGCTTTGCCCTGGCCAGCCCTCCACATGTTGTTGGCACAATCTTTCTACAATGCACACTCTTCGTGTCACTCCCTACAAATAATTCAAAACTCCTAGCGAATGGCTCATGCACCAAGCTAGTATTTCCTGAGAGCGCCTGATGTGCCCCTTTCTTCCTTGCACGAATGTTTCTCTCCTGTTTAGGGGCCACATTCTGATCCACTCTTTAAAACCCGGCTGGAGTCAACCTCCTCTAAGCAATTCCTACCCCCACACAGTCTCCTTGTTCTTTCCTCTCTGCTTCCCTGTGCCTGGGACACACTTTCACAATAACCCCTGCACCGTATTAGGACACTTCACTTCTGTTTCCCTCAGAATGTGACAGTTTTGATAGTTTTTTTTTTGTACTCCAGGGCTTAAAGTTTTCATTAACAATTGGGAGACTGAACTTAGCATGAGAAGTAACATTTTTGACCTGACTGAACTAGGTAGACTACCCAGAGAAGGCTGGATATCATACATTATAAAGAATTCTTTTAAAACACTAAGTTTAATATAATAAAATGCCACTAATCAAAATAAGACCATAGGAAAAGAGGGGCTCCCACCTACTCAAATACAGAGAAAAAGTTTTGTTTACAAAATTACACTGGTTACAATTACAATCTCACAGTGTATACTGTGTGATATTAAATTGGAAATTTTATCACATATTAAACAAAAGCAATAAGGACAATTTGTGTGCCTATGATCTCCGTTTTTCCCTTTTCAATCACAGTTTTCTAGTTTGTCCTCTTGTAATTAATTTCTAAGATAACCTAACATCACTATGATGAGTGTTTCATAAAACTGTTCAGAATCTCAAAACATTTTTCTTTGACTTCCCATTGAATCCCTCCTTCATTAAAATGTTAGGAATAGCACTTACACCTCATTAACATATGTAAATTAAGAGTACTGATTAGAATAGTTTCCTACTTTTTTTTTATGAAGGAAGACTCTGTAATTTTATTTCAAAGCCATTTCTTATCCTAATCTTTCCTTTCNAACATATGTAAATTAAGAGTACTGATTAGAATAGTTTCCTACTTTTTTTTATGAAGGAAGACTGTAATTTTATTTCAAAGCCATTTCTTATCCTAATCTTTCCTTTCCCACTCATCACACTGCTCAGCATCTCATTACCTTACAATGATAAATGCAGTAACTGTGTTTCCACATCCAACTTCGCATGTCTTCACTTACCCCTTCTGCCAGGTTCATTTTCCTAAAGCACGGTTCTAATTAACTATATGACTCAAAGATCTTTAATTATCCCTCACCAATTACCTACAGAATAAAAGATACAAGGGAAACCAGACAGACTTTATTGAGCCTAGAATGAGCCAAGTGTTTTACAAACCTTGTCTCCCAGTACACAGATGATGCACTATCATTCTCCCTTTACCGATGAGGCAGCAGGACCCAGGGGAGGCAGGAAGCGCTGAACTAGCCGGGCACTGGCAGATGTTAGATTGGAACCCGTTTTTGTCACTATATTATGCTCTTAACCTTAGTCCAGATATGAGTCAGTAAGACATTTTCCATTCAGACAACAAACTTTCTGCTCAAGCCATCTAATGTCCAGACAGACAAAACAAGCACTAGCTTTTCTACTTGTATGTACTGCTGATATTCTTTACACATAAACCTCTACACTATGAATAGTTAAAATTTTATTTATCTGTGCATCTCAAAATCTCAAATGCCGCTGCTACCTTCCTATTAGAGTCTTCTCTAACAGCTTCAAATACCTATGATTGCTTCTTCTGAATTCCTGTGGTACTTAATTACTCAAATCATCAATTCACTGATCAGGTCCTGCCACTCATTATAACTTTCCTAGGCATCCACTCTGTGCCAGGGACGGTGATGGATCCTGGGAAATAATAATGAATATGTGTGATCACTCTCTTTGGAAAGTAGCCAGCTATAGGGCTGCAGGGCACCCATCGCCGGTTGCTTTACTTACAGTTATCACTATAAGTACCTCATGGGCTCCACCAGGTTGTAAGCAATTGTGGGATAGAGCATGTTTCATTTAGCTGTGTGTCCCTTGGAGCATCTAACGTATTGCCTGGCACACAGCAGGAACTTAGGCAACATTTGGTAAATAACTAAATAATGGAATTGGTCATACGTTCACACATTTTGAATGCTATCTTGCAATTATGTGGTCTAATCCCCTAGATGGAGTTGGGTGCCCTTCCCAGCACTCCCATAATGCTCTATGTTTACCTCTATTAGAGTTAAACACAGATACACAGAAACATACAAACACAGAGTTAAATATAGATGAAGAAATGGGCCCATGAAAGTGATGCTACTGTAAACATCCAATCTCAGTTTTGTATTATAGAAATAGAGATATCATAGTTTATGTATGTGATGACTACAGAATAAAAGGGTATTAAGTAGAATAAAGAGCTCATTATAAAGGCACATTATATCCCCTTGGGAACAGAGGTTGCTAAAGTCAGTTAACAAAAGTTTATAAATACCTTATTCCTGTGATACTAACTCTGAAGAGTTTACTGTTCAGAAATTCTATGTTATATTCTGACTATGTCCTTTATCTTACTCATGGCAATAGTAGTTTAAACATATTTATAAAACTTAAGATTAAAATAAATTGTTTTAAAAACGAAAATGAATAATATCTTAATTAAAATTAAACACAGGACTCTCAAACTGGTGTTATTAAAATGAAAATGACTTAAAATGTCATGAGCTATTGTTTATAATTCTAGTATCTTTGAAACCCTTAGTGTATGTAGCTTATTTGAAACTATAAACAGGTGAAATGATATATGAGTGCTTCTAAATAATATTCCAAGTAAAGTTCAACATACAGAATTAAACAAAAGTAAAAAAACCCCTAAAGTACCAGCATTTAAAGATCTTACCTATTAATATACGATTCTTCTTGATGCCACTTTTTACTTCATCATGAATCAGATCTGTGAGCACCTGACACATCACATCGATGGACTCAAGGTGTTCTGGGCAGTCATTAGATATTTTAAATCTGTCAAACCACACATTGGAGATTCCTCCTCTCATAGGAGTATATGGTCTGTTTAAAACCAAAAGAGCAAAGAAAAAGGAAATGACATTAAAATAGATGTTTTAATTTTTAAAACATTATTGTCTTGAATAAATAGTTTCAATTTCCTCCAAGATTTGTAAATTGAAATTCATATCAAAAGCACCCCCATGCCTGTGGCATCAGCTCACATATATGTATGTAGATTCCATAACACTTACTAAGGCCAGTACATCGCTCTTCTCTCCATCTTTTAAGATTCATAAATTCTCTGGAAAATCCTCACAAAAAATGGAACTTTGTATATATTATGTATGTATACAGTATGTGTGCATACATTTTTTATGCTCAATTAAAAAAAATGATTAATCAGGCCCACTAATTTTTTAAAAAATTCTGCTTTGGTTTTTCCCCTTTAATCAATATATCAGTTTTCACAGCTGAGTCATGCTTGTCCATGCAAAAAATTCAATACCTCAATAGTGAAAATACCTCTCGCCAACAAACTTTTAGAAGTTGGGTAATTCGCAGCACTCAGGTGTGAAAGGTGAGCTAATATTTTCAGGGCTCCTTGATCACATTCAGATAGATCACCCTTAGGATGGGACTGGTCCAGTATTTTTTTTTTAAATTGGGAATTGGAACTATTTTTTTCATCTTCTCAGGAACCTTGGAATGAGAGTCTAGTGGGACACAAGTAATCTTTGGAAGCAGTCATCAGACAGGCATTGTACACTGTTCGCACCATTTGGGTTCCGAATTGGGCGCTTTGCTGGACTTAGAAGACATTTTATGTAAGATGCTCTGAACTGGCGTCTTGTCGAACAAGGTTATCTTGTAAGATTCTTTACACTTCTGCGAAGGTGGGATGGCCGCAGTGCTAGTGACTTAGATGCATGTTCACGCTCTGGATGCTACTCGAGGGCCCACGGTGCCCACCCGAGGCCCACCCCGCAGTGTCCCCGCCGCCCCCGCCTGGCCCTGTCAGGCCAGGAGGGCTCCCACTGCGCGGACCTGCCCTCGGAGGCAGTGGTCTGGGGCCAACGCGTGGTGCTGGGCCCGAGCCTGCACCATCTTTTTTCTCTTGATCAAGCTGCTTCCAAATAAACCGACTTCCACTTTAGGAGCCAGGAAACCAAGAGCAAGGTTTGGAAAGCTCAGACACACTGAGGGAGATCTGGAAAGAGGAGCCCATCCACACAGGGCCTTCTGCTTATTTACTGAGGAGCCACGTTGTAAACACTGCTTTGCAACATGCTTTCTAAAACTGGAACGTGTATTTTGAATATCCCTGTAAGACCGTACATTTTCTGTCAGTTTATGAAGACACATGGTATTTTATATATGCATGTGTATGTTTGTGTGGTTTTGATGTTTTTCATGTAAATCTTTATTTTTGTACCATTTGTCATCCCCACTCCCATTCTCCCCACATCTTCACACTATGCAAACCATTTTCATGATCTAAAATATACCCTTGAATGTTTTTCTTGCATGTACATTAAAACAAGCTTCTTTACAGGATACTTTTTAGAGCACTATTGCTTTTCAAAAATTAAACACCTATCTGCTTTTCTTATGGGCCTTCTCCCTTTTAATGGTGCCTCATGTAAACCTGCTATCTGTTCCAGTCCTAGCCTATCGTTCTAAACGGCAATGTAATCTGTCTTTTAGTGTCTCCTATTTGTTTAAAAAGCTCTTCCCAATCCATACATTTTCACATGTGGAATCCAAAGTTTTCTTCTAAGATTATTGTTTTTAACATTTAACTCTTGAGTTTTTCTGGAATTTTTTTGTACACGAGGTGACCCAAGGTTCGAGTTAATATATTTAATTTTATAGTTCTGAGTTATGTAGTCTCTCTCACCAGATTCCATGAGAGAATTAATCCCTAATGCCTCATACATGCACTATGTATACTGAATGGGCTTCTCGCTAATATATCTAGAATGGGGCTAGTTCTATACTAACCCTGGGAAAACCAAGAAAAAAGTCACTCAAATCATTTTTTGTGTTCTGTGATGCAGATGAGGAACACGAGCTGAGAGGCTCTGTTTCTGTTGCTGACCTACCTACTACCTACACTGTGTTAAGGTCACACTGATGCATTACAGTGTTTTTGCAGCATGCTCTGAGTTGGGTAATGCAGATCCCCTCTCCTACCATCACCACTACCAGGCTCTTTCCCAGATTTCTCCTGCCTGTTCTCAGGCATACACTCTTCTTTACTTATCTAAGAAATTATCAAATATTTAGTCAGTCTGAAAATAATTTCAAATAATTCTCTTTAAAAATACTTGTGGGATTTTAACTAATATTGCATGGTTGTCTGGGAATTTACATTTCATGACATAGATCTGAGAGGAGGGAGGATTTCTGCAGACTGAGCTCTTCCCTGGACTTGCCACGTTCTGATCCGCACCTGAGGCTCCTCCTGCATCGTTCCCCAGGCCCTAAGTATGCACAGAAGATAAAACCCTGCACCGGCTCTTTACTGGGACTCCAATGAAGCCTAAATTCTTTTGCATTCCTGCAAACCTCCCAGCCTCAGAAGCTGCTCTGCTCAAGAGGTAAATAAATTGGAGTCAGAGGGAAGAGAAAACAGAAAGCACTTCAAGCCTCTGACATCCCAGAATCCCTTTCTCAGGATTAACTTTCTAGACATGCTCAGAAAATGAACGCAGGTACTTTCCACCTAGTATTAGTGTCACTGTCAGACAGAATGAAATTCCAGACTGGATTCAATTTGTCATAAAAACCACAATGATCTTCTGAATGAAGCCTGAACATATCATTCACTTAAAGCTGAATCTGACGTTGCCCTCTTAAGTTATTTCTACTTCCCTTTTCATTTTATTCTGCTCTTTCTTTCAGTGTTGTCTGTCTAAGCACTTAAATAGGGTGATATCATAGGCCAAGATATGAATCATTCCGGGAACTCAGCCATTAATTGAAAAAAATTACATTCATTTAGCTTTTTGTCTCTGACAGCGCCTTCCTTAATTAGCGATAGATGCTCCATAGAGGTGAAAGCCCAAAGTAAATTTTACTAATATGGTTGCTTTTTGTTGTACTAGCTAAGAAAATCAAAATTCTGTTCAAAGATAACTGGGAAAATTTTATCAGACAACGTATAATTTAGAACTTTTCTGTTATGAAAATATAAAAAAATGCATAATTCTCTTAAGATGTTAGAATGACTGTTAAATACAGCATAAAAGTGAGATTGTTTTTTAAAACAGCTAACAAACTGGTACATATGTTATGTTCATTTACCTTCTTCCTCAAATAAATCACTTTATTAGCTGGTATAAAAGAGCTCAGACATTACCACAATAAATAAATATGTTAGGAGAAGGACATCTGTATGGCTCCTAAATCAATCAATCAAACGAGCTATTACACACTGGTAACATATTAAGATGAAATAAAATGCCCAAGGTTAAAAAAAAGGTTGAAATTCAGCCTGATACCAAGTTCGGTTTTGGTCAGTGTTTCCTAAAGCCATAAAATCAAAAGGTCGTTCATAACCTTTAAGATAATGTCATCTGACTCAGTCTTCCTCTCTGTCCTCACGGCACAGTGCTTCCTGTGTCCACACTCCCCTCCTGCTTTCTTCACACAGGACAGCCCATTACTGATCCAGAGCCTCTGCGTTTGAGAGTCCCTCTAGCTGGGATGCTCTTGGCCCCAAGGTGGGCTCCCACTAGGTCTCAGCTAAAATGTTACTTCTGCAGGGGCATCTTCTTTGGCCCTACAATTTAAAGTATGTCTCCCTTCCACCCTGTAATGCACACATATAGTCTCTCTATCCCAATATCCTACTTAACTATAGAATTTATCACTATTTGAAATGAACATATTTTATTTCTTTTTCCCCTATTTCGGTGTGAGCCCCCTGAGTGGGGACTTTCTTTCTTCTTCTTCTTTTTTTTTTAAATATATCTTTATTGATTTCAGAGAGAGGAAAGGAGAGGGAGAGAGAGATATAGAAACATCAATGATGAGAGAGTCATTGATCAAGCCCACAACCTGGGCATGTGCCCTGACTGGGAATCGAACCGATTGCCTGGATCCCAGGTCGATGCTCAGCCGCTGAGCCACGCCTGGCTGGGCGGGGACTTTCTTTCTTACAGGGGTACTCGAAGTGCCAAGAACAAGCATTTGCTGAATAATGAATGTCAATAATCACTTATGTCACCTGGATAATTTATGTCAGGTAGATATGAGAGAATATCTAAATATGTTTTTATTTTGCTCTAAATTTCTTTTCACTTTAATTCTTCTAAAATCCATATTGTGATTTCAAGGAAAAGGTCACATTTTTCTTTTGTTGCTTTTTCAAAAAAAAACAACAGGTTTCTGAGAGAACAAGGTTTTACATACTAATAGGTATTTTAATATGCTGTTTAAAATATTTATCAAACAAGTAAAACTATTTTTTCAAAACAGCTGTTTTCGCAGGGTTCCGTACCAGTGAAGTGTGCCTGTAGCACAAGTCTACTGGTATGGGGAAAGAGATGCTCAGTATTCAGCTCAGACAGAAATCTCTTAAGTGCTGGATTAAGGATGAATTCATCGTTTACTACACCTAAATCAAAAGTGCCTAACACTATTTTGGAAAACATGTTTAATGAAAAACACAGACATGCAAAAAATAGTAAATCAAAAATAGAGGCACTTTATGCAAAACTTGTTACTTTAAAAATTTCTCAAAACACCAAGAGAAACTATATATTGTCAAATAAATTATTAATGGCTTGTTAAAAAATTGTTATTATTTTTAAAATGGAAATTCTAATAGTAAACCCAAACCAAGAAAACCTCTAATTACAAATACAATTAAAGTATGTCACTGAAATAAAAATATTTATTGAGCACTTCAGTTTATTTAGAGTCCAAATTAACATAATGAAAAAAATGAAGCAATATTTTCCACTTAAATCAACACAGCAAGCTAATTGCTGACTTTTACTTAATATGCCCCTAACTGAGCTGATTAAAAACATCTATTAAATAGGGTTGAGGTAAAGGAATACCTTATAGCCAAAATGGCACTTTACAATTTAATCAAAACATACTGATATGCTGTAACAGACGGCAACTAGGTAAATATAATACACTACTGTTCTCCCCTTTAAATGCTTTCAAATACGTGTGACCACTGAAGTAAGCATCCTAGCCTGTGTGACAGTTTCAGTGTTTGCAGATGAAATACACGTGAAAGTGTAACGGGGGGATAGAGGATCCTGCATGGCTGGACAGGAGGTTTCTACATGTCGTGAGACTAAAAAACTAAACAGGTAAAAGGTTGGTATACATCTTGTAATCCCTAAAGAAATCAGGGAAAAATAAAAATAGATAAATGGATAGTAAAAAATTCAAATAATACAAAAAGAAGATGGAAAGAGAAAAAAATACAAAAATATAGTAGACTTAAATTCAAACATATCAATAGTTACATTAAATACAAATGGTCTAAACAAATCACTTAAAAGACAGAGACTGTTTAGACTGGTTAAGAAAAAAAGCCCAAATATATATTGTCTATAAGAAACCCATTTTAAATAGGATATAGACAAGTTAAAAGTAAAAAGATGGAAAAATACTATGTAACACTCATCAAAAGAAAGCAGAAGGATGGGGAAAAATAATATTTTATAATATAAAAGTAGCTACTAATGAGGAAGACAGTAATCCCACATAGGCACGCACCTAACGCATTGTATGCAGGAAACGTATTTATACGTTTTACGTTGACTGGTGGTAGAGCGTGTGATGAAAACTACGCGCAAACAATGTGCTAATAACATCACTTAAAAACACATGCAGAGAAAGCTGATAGAACTAAGGGAAGAAACAGACTAATCTACAGTCATAGTTGGACATTTTAATACCCACTCTTCAGGACCTAACAGAACAACTCAGAAAAAGAATGACTAAGCAAATATTTAATTTGAGCAACTGACATTTGTAGAACTCTATATGCAAAAATGCACATGGTATACTCACCGAAAGAGACTGTATGCAAGATCATAATATAAGTGACAGTGTCGCAAGACTGAAATTATACAGGATAGTTCTCTGACAACAATGAGATGTAAGATGAACTAAGACTACAAAATCTTCAGTCAACGCAGATGTGGTTCATATTTGAAAATTAGGATATTTTCGATCTTATAATTTTAAATTACATGTTAAATGAAGTTTCTAATTATTCTGAGAGTCTGAGACACCTGGAATTAAAACGTGGTAATGCCTACACTTCTCATAAAATGAAAGAAAAATAATTTCACAGTAATGTTGAAATACATTTTCTAATATGATAAAATACTAAACCAGTCTTGATTATACTGTTCATAAGAGCCCTTCCAACATTTAGAAAATCCTAAATCAAAAGTTTTGCAGCCAGTGGCAGTCTCTGATCAATGACACTGGGTTTCCAATATGGAAAAGGACCAGTGAAATACAGCAAAGCCACAGAATGTATAACCTGCTGAGTATTTAACATAAAATAATTCTGCTAGTTCAGCTCAGGGTTCTGGTGTTTATATTTGAAAACAATAAGCATAGTTTACAAACTTAATTTTTATGTTAATAGCAAAGGAACTAGCATTATTATCCTTGATTGCATATGTTTTATCTCATTGTTTTACCTGATGGGGCTGATCAAGGACAGTTAGTATTACACAATAGAGATCCTATTTATAGCAAAAACACATATGTACTCTTTCTGAAAAAGCTCTTGAGTTTCAGAATAGGAAATTGCAAACTGCATTGAATTGTAAGCTCTTTATTTCTTCATTTTAAGAATCTTACAACCAGTGAAAACAGGAAAGCAGAACTTTACCCCTCCATGATCACAAGAGTGAATTTGAGACTAGAAAGGCTTCTGAAGGAAAGTGGAATTTTGTTTTTAATGTTTCTGACCTAGAGTAATTAAGTCTAAAAATAAAAGCCTAGTACATAAAGACCTGTTCTTAGGTGCAATCTCAACTTCTTGTATTGATTCAAAGACAATAATGCCATTCACACTTTAATTAGCTCAGATCCCCCCCAACCCCCCAAAATATTAACAGCTGACTACACTGCAACATTTTTTTTCTTCCTCAAGGAGTAACAAGACACTGATAATCTAGTATGTGCGGGATAGAGGTGTAATTTAAAGCAGGGTTTCTCAAGCTAGGAACCACTGAGATTTGGCCCAACAGTGTAATTACAGAAAGAAAAAAAAGTTTGTAAAAAAAGTACCCCAATTTAAAATATTTTAAATACAGAATGAAGCTTAAAGAACATCTAGGTGGTATACGTCTATTTACGTTTTATGCCAAAGAGCTATCCTGAGCATTGAGATCAATTACTTCTCACCTGGGGGGAGCCGTTGGGTAAATAATCTTCACGTGCTGGAATGTTAGATCTTCATTTAACACCTGCTTGATCCACCGTCTCATTCCTTGTCCAGAATCACCTGGTGAATCACAAAATCTACATTAAGATAAAACATTCTGACAATACAGTGTATTTAAACAGTCTAACTTTCAGGTCATACAGAGGATGGAACAAGGAATAAAAAATGTCCCTACATAAAAATAACTGCAGAGACTGGTTCATCAATATGAACTGATCAGGTACCAGCAGGTAGGAACAATCTGATTATTTTACTGACTTCACCACCGATCGCTTTAAAAACCTTGCTTAAGAAGGATCTGAAACCAAGACTACTACTCTATCCAGCAAGATTATCAATCAAGCTGGATGGTGAAATAAAGAGCTTCTGAGACAAAAAAGGTTAAAACTTTATCACTTCAAAACTAGCATTACATGGTGTGGGGAGGGCCTGGGGGTGGGATGGATGTGGGGTGGAGGGGATCAGTGGGGTAAAAAGGGCGACATCTGTAATGGTCTCAACAATAAAGGTATTTAAAAAAAAACAACACAAAAAACCAAAAACCTTAAGCCTGAGTTATAAGTTTCCTCATTTGTTTACAGGTTATAATAGGAATAAATAAATGAAGTCAATCAGTCTTTCTAAATAAAAATGCTATTTTTTCTGATTTTAAACAGCCATTTCTTAGCTTTACTCTTAAAAATACTAATTCCTAAAGTGCCTATAAACTTCTGTAGTTGGAACAACCTAAAACAATTTTCTTTGTTAAAATATTAAAATCCTTCAAAAGGGGTATATGCTTTTACTTTTAACCTGAAGAAATTAGAATTTAATCCTGATAATGCGTTTACATGACCTAAAATAATGATACATTCCAAGGCCGAAAAAAATCACCCAAATTCATGCAAATATAAATGTATATGTATTTCCATAAAAAAATGGAAGGAAATATAGGTTCATCTTATGTGGTCCTAAAGAGGAAATTTTAAAGGTAACAACTTTAATTTTTTAACCAAGACATCAATTCAAAATATATCTATTGAATGCCTACTAACGTGTCAGGCACTGTGTTTACTGCTAGAGAGGCAGCGAGGGGAGAGTGAAGGGGAGAAAGCAGCCCTTTTCTCACGGAGTATACAGTTTAGTGTGAGAAACAGTCAAAAAATCATACCCGTATATGTGAAAGACAAATGTCCCCACTGCAAAGGCAAAACACGCAGTACTGCCAGGGTTTACTGTGCTAGGAAATGGCATGGTTAAGGAGCTCCGGGTAACTTCACTGGAACATAAGCTCTACCGGTTCATTTTGTCCAGTTAATTGTTCATTTAATGCCTCGAACAGGATTGACACAAGCTGGGCATCTGACAGGTAGCTGCTAAATGGTTTGAACTCAAATCTCCAGGATGGTGGAAGGCGGAGTACAGAAGGAAAGAGCATCTCAGACACGGTTAAGGCAAAGGCTAAGACCCTTTGTAGGAAGGAGCAGTGTGACATTGAAGAACTGGAAAGAGGAAAATGAAAGGAAGAGCAGTGAGTGCGAGGTGAGGTTAGAGGCACTCTTTTAAAAATAACTGTGACAAAGAGTTTGGCTGGCCTTTGTCCCCAGTTCCTAAGAGGTAACCTCAAAACCCTTAGAATTTCCTGAGTGATTAGAGTGTCTTTGTTACTCATGGAAGGGACCCCAAACCGCAGGATAGTTTCACTAAGGAGATGACTCAGGGTGGGAGCTGGCCAGCCAGAAAGACCAACCATGTGATTAGAAGGTTGGGGCTTTGAACCATGTGATATCATTCTGACCCCCGGGGACAGAGGAAGCTGGAGATTTGAGTTCAGCGCCAAATCAATCATGTCTATGCAATAAAGCCCAAATAAAAACTCTGGATAAAAAGCTCAGGTGAAACTCCCTTTGTGACAACATTCTTTTGAATATTCTCATACCTCAGTGCAAAGAGGCAACTCATTACTGAGGACAGGTGATTTGGGTTTAGAACCCTCCCAGGCTTTCTCTAAGTGTCTTTTCTTTTTGGCTGGTTCTAATTTGTATCCTTACACAATAATAAAATTATAAGAAAAAAAATGAGGCTAGAGAAACAGTAGGCCCCTGACAAATCCTGAGAGCACAGAGAAGCTACAGAGATATTTTGTGGGAGGAAGGTGGCTTGCCTTTAAGGATCACCCTGGAAACTATGTGAAGACTGAAGGACAAAAGGAGATGTGGGAGATCAGTTAGGAGGCCAGTGTTCACGTGACAGATACTCAGACTAGGGCAACAGCAGTGGAGTATACAGAAATAGGAACTAGAGATATTCAGGAGCTAATATGAACAGAAATTGGGAATAGATTAGTTAATGGGTCAATGGTGGCAGGTTTCAAGGCTGACCGTGAGGTTTCTGACCGGGACAACTGGGTGAACAATAGTACTCTATACTGAGACAAGAAACCCAGGAGAGCAAGGATTTTTGTTCGCTTTGTTCACTGCTGTATGCCCAAGCCTAGAGCAGTCCTTGCACACAGTGACCATGTAACCAGGTATTTCTTGAATAAATATATTAATGAATGAGTGGTTACTAGGCTGTTGGATAAACATGTCTTGAGCTCCATGGAGGCCTAAAATGGACACGCATGTGTGTTTCCTGTATAAAGGTAAAACTAGGATCTGTGGGCTTATACGCAGTTTAGTGCAGGGAGACACATGTAGAATGAGAAGAGAAAGCAAGACATGCAGTTTGTCCGCATGCACCTTGTGGCTTGGTGTGGAATACAGACATTGTATTAGGTAGCTCCAGATACCACGACTACCACTGAGCACAGCGTCCTAAGGAAATCTGTAACAGTGAATTAATCTACTACCGGAAGCTGAACAAAGCTAATTAAACTGTCATTTGTTTTCATCATCCTCAGAAAAGGTGCTGCTTTGGTATTTTAGTAGCAGGAAAGGCCCACATTGAGTTGACTATACAGAGAACCTACATTCCCAGTTATTCTTCTATGACTGCCACACATACCCTAGGAGAGAACCCCAGGCTTTTAAGATTAAAAACAAAACACAACATACCCCAAAACTAAATCCACCTCTAAACACTCTCTGTCAACCTTGAAAAGCAAAACTGAATACCCTTGGAGCCCTGATTAGCGTTAGTAACAGCTGCTAGTAATAGCTGCCTAGTTGTAAAGCTTCGCTGTTACCTTAAGATACTTTTAAATAAATATACTTGATCAGTCAAGTCCCTTTTCTATTTCCAAAGTGACCCATCCTAGCTCCCTGTTTGTGTGTGTGTGTTTGTTTACCTGACCGGCCTAGAGCGCTGATTCTGGACACAGAGAGCTCTGGGTTTAAGTCCCAGCTCCACCACCACCTTAAAGGTAATATAACAGCCAGGTGACCTCGGACAAGCTGATCAACCCATCCAGACTCATTTCCAGAATGACAAAACTTGGCGCACCTGCCTATTTCCAGCTCTCCGCGTGCACCTCTTAATTCCCTGCACGGCCCGATCGCCACCCTCGTGAAGCCTACATAAGTCTCAGCTCAGGGACCGCTGGCCCAGTCCAACCTCATGAGCTCCCCATCCTCCCGGTGCCTCCAACAGGCCTCGCCGCAGCTGCTCCCTCGCAGCTCCCTTGGCAGAAAACCGCGCACCACCTTGTGATCGCCCCTCCGCTGCTGACTCAAACTGATTGAACTGTTTTTGTTTTGAACTCGAGGGGGGCGCCCTGAGGACACAGGCTGCCTCCCGTTTCTTACACACACACAGACAGACACACACACACAGAGACACACACAGACACATAGACACAGAAAGACACACAGACACACGCAGACACACACACGCAGACACACACGCAGACACACAGACAGACAGACACAAAGACACACACACACACACAATTTCCCAAGAACGGAGCCTGGGCCAAGCACTAGGGATGCAAAGATGGAAACTGGGGTCCGGCCTCCCGGGGGGCTCACGGCCCGGGGGGAAGGGGGGG